AATAACATAAAAAAACTTTCATATTTTCTTAGCTAGTAAGAATACATTTAATTTTTATTTTACAGTTGCATTATGTGCGTGTGAATCAAAATTGATGTACAATTGTCAGAACGGATTTTCAAAATTTGGAAGTAACTGTTATCATTTAAGTAAAGAAACAGCAACGTGGCAAGAAGCTTTTTTTGAATGCAAATATATGGCAAAAGGGAGTAAACTCGTTGTTCTAGCCAAACAAGTGGATGATCATAATATTCGAAAATTTTTAAAATATAGAAAAAATGGTAATATTTTCAATTTGTTGACCAGTTATTATTGTAGATTTTTGTGAGCAATATAAATATTAAATATGTTAAAATAGTTTTAAATACTAGAAATACATAGGTACCCAAGTAATCTTCATAATTTATTCGTTTATATTTACGTATACATACTATACATAAATATTATTATTATTTGTTAGTATAATTTTAGATAGACTACCTAAATAATACAAATGAACAAAACAAATTTTATTTTTTAATTTATAATAACCAAGAAGCATTACTTTATACTTGGTGATTATAATAGCTATAAATGTACAGTTAACTAAGACGGCTACTGCAAAATAAATTATTTTAGTCATATATAGGGCTCGGATTTTGTAGCAAATGCTTCTTTTGAGGGGAGTGTGATAGAAAGATAATAGATTATTATATATAAATACGTTTTGAATCGTTCTGATTTTAATGAAGTAAACTTTTTTTTGCTTTTTTCCACAAAATCTGCTTTTTATTGCTTTTCCCCCTATTTGGTTATTTTTCTTGATTTTTACATGTTTTTCTTGAAAACTTAACTTATTTCTATTCATATTATACGTCTTGAACTATATTATTATTACCAGAAATTATAAAACCAGTAATAAATACATGACTGATAAAATAACTGTCGTTATTGTGCCGAAATAGTTTTATCTACAATATTAGTAGTAGACAGTAGTCTTTTTCTATGTATAAAAATATATTAGCACCCAATAGAATGAGTT